GCGCTGCGCTACCCAGCGCGTAACCTTGTCTCCTCTACCCCTCTTCTGGTTGTGACATTACCAATCTAGGCCCCGGTCCGGCCGCCCCTGACCTAATATAATAAGAACTATTATCCTTATGACCAAACAAGGACCACCTTACTTAAGATGACATCATGCACTTCCTTTCATTCAAACAGCTGAGAAGGATAATAATAAGGCGAGCAAGCAGACTTCGGCTACACCCTCAGATGAATCCGTATCTCCCCTTGCACCTCATCCCGCAGTTGACTACTTTTTGAGACCAGATTGGCACCAGATCCTGGAATTGCTATGCCTTCATAGCCCAGTTCATAGCTCTAGAAGTATGCCTGGAGCGAATACAGAGGCAGAGCTTTCTTCTCTCTTCTTGTTCATATGGTGATTCAGAGTCAAGCCTGAATTTCATGATTGACTAGTGGCTACCGAGTGTAGGAATTGCCGGGAGAAAAAAGGTGGGTCTACGATCATGTGCATGGTGGAATGCCCCCTTATTGTTAAAGAGAATTGACCGTAGTTACCAAGCTTTCCATGGCTCACAAAGTGAAGGATTGTTGATGCTTGCGGATTAGCTAAAAGGGTCTGTTTCGGTCTGAACGTGAGAAGTGAGGGAATGGCAGGACTTGCCTGAATAAGGGCAAGGGATTTTGGCAGAAACTTCTAATGTCAACAATTTCTTGTGAATTTTGACCTTTCTTATGCTCATGCTCCTCCGGCGTAAGGAATTTCTCACAATCGAAGAACCGACCTTTTATATAGCACTTATTTACTTACTTTATTGATTTTTGGATTCTTTTATGAAACACCTATGCTATGGCCATTTAAAAGACTTGAAACGCATGACATGACCGGGGGGACACGGCAACTTCTGGAATTGTTGACATTCCCCCTTTTCCGATTGCCCACTCGAGGAGCTCGGCTTGCTTTAGTCCGATTTCAATGTCATGTATGAGTTCACGCCATTACTGATTAAAGGGATGGGGGCCGGAATGCACTTCGTTGCCGGTGGTAGAGCTCTCCTTCTTTGAAAAGCATCTGGAAACTTCTTCTGTACAGATTTTCCATCTTCTGTCGCGCCAAATGCTCCTAGCCCATCTAAGTGTGTTAGTAAAGAAGCGTCGTATCCTTTAATGCAAGAAATGGCTATCAATCTCATCAATTGAGGAAGATCGCTCCTACTCATTTTCATTGTATGTAAGCACCCTATTTACTGGCACTAGTCAAGGAGTCCTCCTATTTGGATCTTCCCAACGCTCTAGTTTTCTTTCACAATTCTCACTATAGGAATCGGCTACCTGTTCCAAGCGCCTCTGACTCTTTCACATCTGTTCTTATTTCGGTTAATGGAGTGGCATCCTTTCCACTATTCTTTTACGTCTTGTTTTGTTTTTCTACTCACATGGTATCGAACAAGGCGTCAAAGTCAAAGGCTTTTTCTTTCCTCACTCATGCATGCTCTGTAACTTGGAACAACCGAGTCTTTTTAGGGAGTCCCATCCTTTTGTCTTGGCGAATATCCCCTCTTGTAGAAGGGTTGGTTTGACTAGCTTTCAACCACTTTTGATCCCTCTGTAAGGGTTGGACCCAAAGAAGAGTGAAAAAGAAACCTGAGCAAACGAGAAGAGAGATTTGCTTTCCATCCAGGAACTCGTTGCCAAGCTTACTAGAAGGACTGGGGCTAGGAAGGAGGCGGTATCCGACGGGGAAGGGCGGCTAAACGCGAAGGGACCGGTTGCGAGGGACTCAGCTTCAAAGGATTGGAAAAGTGAAACTCTCACCTGTATGACCAGATGGGTGAAGATTCTAAAATGCTTTGAAAAGGCCTTTACCGCAGCACAAACGAAGCATGAAAATGGGGTTTTTCGAAAGAGCACTTCTGGAAGAATGGAAAGACCACTCTCACTATACGATACGATATTCCTCGAGACAAAATGGAGCAAGGCGACCAAAAGGAAAAGCAAAGACAAGGCCGGTCTCTGAATTCTTATATTTGAATAGGAACTTGAGCCTACCTTCGCTGCAGTCTCTCGCTCAGCTCTTGAAGAGCCAGAAATTTCCCCAAAAATAGAATGGAATCTCCTCTGCAGAATTTGATATATGGATGATTAGGTAAGGAGTGAATCTGACTTTCAATAGCAAAAGTCAGGCGAAGACAAAAGAGTTGACTCCCTTTTAACAGGGTACGCTTTTAAAAGGAAATAAGCAAAGACAGCTGTGTGCTGGCAAAAAGAATTCAAATAATCATAGCTCAACCCTATTTGTGTCAAAGCGATTTCTGGAACAATGGAAAGGGGAGCGGGATGTGAAAATCAAACCCTATATGAGGGAGTTAAGCAGTGGCAAAATAGGCCTTTCCTTGATTAAGATCATAGGTATCCGGTCAAAGTGATGCCACAAATGCTGTCAGAGAGAAACCAGACTTGCTTGGTGTTTCGCTCAAATGAATAAGAAAATGGTTCTCAATTGACCACTAGATTAGAAA